GCACAGAAACCCCCCAAAATTCAGCACTTTATAAACCCACCTTTTGGCATGGCTCCTGCACGGGCAGAATAGGGTTAGGGTGGACCCCCAGCTAGGGTTAGGGTTGGGAAAACCAGCATTCCCCCGGACCTTCTGAGGGGTGGGAAGTGTTGGGGAGGGGCAGAAAGAATAAGAGGGGCACAGAAACCCCCCGAAATTCAGCACTTTATAAACCCACCTTTTGGCATGGCTCCTGCATGGGCAGAGAAGGGCTAGGGAGGCCCCCCAGGTAGGGTTAGGGTTGGGAAAATCAGCGTTCCCCTGGACCTTCTGAGGGGTGGGACGTGTTGTGGAGGGGCAGAAAGAATGAGAGGGGCAGAGAAACGCCCCAAAATTCAGCATTTCAGAAACCCGCCTTTTGGCATGGCTCCTGCATGGGCAGAGAAGGGCTAGGGAGGCCCCCCAGGTAGGGTTAGGGTTGGGAAAACCTGCGTTCCTCCGGACCTTCTGAGGGGTGGGACGTGTTGGGGAGGGGCAGAAAGAATAAGAGGGGCACAGAAACCCCCCGAAATTCAGCACTTTATAAACCCAGCTTTTGGCATGGCTCCTGCATGGGCAGAGGAGGGCTAGGGTGGCCCCCCAGCTAGGGTTAGGGTTGGGAAAATCAGCGTTCCCCTGGACCTTCTGAGGGGTGGGACGTGTTGTGGAGGGGCAGAAAGAATGAGAGGGGCAGAGAAACGCCCCAAATTTCAGCATTTCAGAAACCCGCCTTTTGGCATGGCTCCTGCATGGGCAGAGAAGGGCTAGGGAGGCCCCCCAGGTAGGGTTAGGGTTGGGAAAACCAGCATTCCTCCGGTCCTTCTGCGGGGTGGGACGTGTTGTGGAGGGGCAGAAAGAATGAGAGGGGCACAGAAACCCCCCGAAATTCAGCATTTTATAAATCCACCTTTTGGCATGTCTCCTGCATGGGCAGAGAAGGGCTAGGGAGGCCCCCCAGGTAGGTTAGGGTTGGGAAAACCAGTGTTACCCCGGACCTTCTGAGGGGTGGGACGTGTTGTGGAGGGGCAGAAAGAATGAGGGGGGCAGAGCAACCCCTGGAGTGACGGTGCATTTTCCAGCCCTATATTTTCTGCCGCCTATTCCCGTAGCCTCAGGGCGGCTTGGTCGGATCTTCGCCCCTGCAGGGGGGCCCTCAGAGCCACCTTGCCCAGGAGCTGCTCCGCCGTCCAGGGTGTCCCTTCTATCAGCATTTTGCCTCCTCTGTGTGTTTGGCCCCGGCTTCAGCCCTCCGCCGTGGCCTCTGGTGCCGGGATGGAGCGAGGGACTCTGTGCATGCTCAGCAACTCCAGTTGTCCCAAGGACGAGCAAGTTCACTGAGCAGGCCCAGGCTTACCTTCACCACGGAGATGACACCGCCGTTGGTGAGGGGGTCCGTGCGAATGGCAAACGCCCCCTCGGGGTCGCCCTCCAGGATGGTGAACTTGGCCAGCCAGTTGGGGGACCCGGGCAGGTCCCTGTCTTGGACCGCGATGCTTCCGAGGACTGCACCGTGTTCATTCTCGGGGGCTTCCATGGAGAACTGGGGGAGGGATTGGGGGCGTGAAAGGGGGGCATCCGGGAAGGGCACCCGGCCCCATGGTGGGGGAGGGCTCCCTTGTATGGCAGGTCTGCCACGCATGGTCCAGTCCTCCGCCCTGCTCCCCTCTGAGTGGGGAGGGGGCCTTCTGGAGGTATGGGGAGTGGGGGGGCCTCATGGGCCGCCCTGCCCTCCCTGGCGGAGCCGAGAACAAGCTGTGAATGTGAATCAAAGGCTTGCTGGGGGAAGCCTGCTATCGGCCTGACTTCGGGTGGCCGGCACTGATTCCGCCCTCCGGATCATCTCTGGTTCCAGAGCGAGACCAGAGCCCGGGGGGGGCACACTCCCCTGACCTGCGAGTGGCGCAGAGCAACTCCCTCGCTGCCAGAACGTCCCGCCAGCTGCCCTCCCCCCGGCCGGCCGCACCTCTTTCTCTGTGAACTCGGGTGGGTTGTCATTGATGTCGTCGACGAGGATGACTGCGGTGGCCGTGGTGGCCAGTCCTCCCCCGGACATGTCTGCCACCTGCAGCGTCAGGTTGTAAACGCCCACCACCTGTGCAGGGAGCGCGGGGCGATGAGTGCGGGGAGGGGCCCTGCTCTCCCCGCCCCCAGGAAGATCTGGCAGGGCGGCATCGGGGCGGTCGGGGGTGCGAGACCCCGCGGGCTGGCCAAGGTAGCCGTCGCTGGCCGCCTGCCGACCCCGTCGCAGCTCCGTGGCTCTGAGGGCGTGCGGGAATTTCCCGCTCACGGCGGAGGGAGCGTCGCTGAAGTCCTGCCCGGTTCCTGCAGGGTCAAAGGGCCGCCCTGCTCTGCAGCCCCTCCGGAGGCCGGCAGCGCCCGGGGGGAGGCGCCTACCTCCCGGTCGAACTCCGCCTGGGCGGTCCGGACCTCCCCGGTCAGCTCGTCGATCGCGAAGGCGGCTCCCGACTCCGGCCCCAGGATGGAGTAGCGCAGCACCGCATTGTCCGTCTCGGGGTCGTCGGCGTCCGTGGCCTCCGCCTTCATCACGTAGGTACCTGGGGGCACGGGAGGCACCTCTGAGCGGGACAGGCCCTTTCCTGGTGGGGAGGACGGGAGCGCCCTCAAACGCATCGCCCTGCCTTCCCGGCCTGAGCTTCCTGGCAGGACCTGGCCCAGCCGAGCAGGACCGGCACGTGTGCGCTCGCGCGTCCTCGCGGCACCCACCTGGCGCGGCGCCCTCCACCACGTGCCCCGTGAAGACGGCCTGCCGGAAGAGCGGCCGGTTGTCGTTCTGGTCCATGACCACAATCTCCAGGTCCGTGGGGTCCTCCAGGGTCGTGCCCCCCAGGTCCAGCGCGAAGGCCTTCAGCTGGGGCAAAGCAGAAAGATTGGGGCCTGGGAGGGGCCGGCGGCGGGCCCCACGTCCCCCCTCGGTCCCGTGCACGTGGGGCGGCGTGTGCGTGCCAGAGGAGTGGGGCGGCTCTGGCCTGGAGCGAGCCACGGGGCTTCCCGTACCCGAAAGCGCTCGTGCTTCTCCCGGTCGAGCATCGTGTTGAGGTAGACCTTCCCGGTGAGCTTGTCGATGGAGAAGACGTCCTTGGGCTCCTCGTCCACGCCGGGGCCCCTGATGCTGTAGATCACGCCCCCCGGGCGCTCCTGGTCGGATTTGATCTGCAGAGGGAAGCGGGCGCTGCGGTGTGGGAAGGAGCCGGGCGGGGGGAGGTGGACTCGGGACCTGCTTCCCGGCAGGCGGCGCCCCGTGCATTTCAGCCAGATCTGGGGTGCAGAGCCGCAGCTGAGCAGCTCAAAGGGCCCTGCTCAGGGCCAGTGGGGCCCTCGGCCTTCCCGGGGCCCCCGACCCCACCCCTCCCCAACCACCAGCCGTGGGTGTTTTCCCAGCTTGTGCCCATCCCGTGAGGCTGAGCTGCGGCCCCAAGAGCTTGAAGCAAAACCAGGCTGGGCGCTTGTATGTTCAGCCCTGCCGCGACCTCCTCCTCTGGGGTCGAGTCTTTCCAAATGGGGGCCGGGGGCTCCAGGCCCTCCTGGTTCTGCTGGCCGCGCGCAGCCAGCTGCAGCCGCTGTCTTGACCGAGCAGCTGGAAAAAGTGCTGCGGGGGCACACGGCAGGCGGACACCTTTGCGGGAAAGAGAGCCAGTGGCTCTCCCCAGGACTCCTGTGCCGGGACCGTTTCTGGCATAAATCGGTAGTGGATCAGGTGCACAGACAGAACTCGGGGCTGATCCTGCAGCGTCTGAGAGAGGCGCAGGAAGGCGAGTCCCGTCGTTCCTGCCTGGATGGCTCCCGGCACTGCCCGAGCCGCACCTTACCTGCACCAGGAAGTGCGGAATCCGCTTCTGGTTCTCCGACACGCTGATCGGGGGGATCACCCAGGCCCGCTTCACCCTTCCCGGGCCGTGCTGCTGCTGCCCCAGGCGCAGCACCGGGGGGTGGCCGGGGACCTCCTCTCGGGAGCAAGAGGCTTCCTGCGGGGGAGAGAAGCCCTGAGAGGCCAGCAGCGGGACCGGGGCTCAGGGCAACGCCGGCTCCAGCGCCGCCCTGCTGCCAGGACCGGAGTCCTGCAGGTTTGCGTAAGGCCTGAAAGGCCATCCAGGCTGCCTCTTGCCATTCAGAGCCGGCTTGCGTTCCCAGCAGAAGACCTCCTTCCGCCCCCAAGGCCCATCGGGGCAGATGGAGCCTGCTGGCCAGAAAGGGAAGGCCGTCATGGGGAGGAGGCGCGGCCGCTGCCCAGCTCCCTCTCCTCTCCTGCCTCCTCCTCCTCCCGCCAACAGCTGCATGGCGATGAATGCCGGGCTCTTTCACACGGGCCGGGACGCCAGCCCTGCTCTTGGCATGGTGCAGACTGCGCGGCCGACCCAAGGGAGCTGGCGGCCACTTCCTGCGTTGCCTGTGAAATCCGGTTTAGTTCTCTTTTTAGCAAACCTGACCCGCCTGCTCCTTTCCCACGTTGCCACGATCCTCGCCGGGAGTGCCCTGCTGCTGAAAAGAGGCCCCCTGGCATCTGGCCCCACTGGTCAGGCAGGGCGGTCCCCCTGCGGCCCCGGAAAGGGTCGGAGCACACGGCCGGTGCCGGCCCTTCCTTTCGATGCGGCCGTGTGGCGAAGGCGCTCGAGGCAGGCCGCGGAAGGGGCGGCCCGGGAGCTCCCCGTGGAGCGCGGTGTCAATGCTGAGATGCACACGCTGCGGCCTGGGACAAGGCGGGGCCTGCCACGGGCTTCCAGGCGCCTGGGAGCGGAGGCGCGAAGCCCCAAAGGGGGCTGCCCCGGTGCCAGGCGGGCCCAAGCGGAACACGCCTCACGTGGGGCCGTGCCAAGAAGTCTGCCTCTGGTGACCGTCCGCCAGCCTCGCCGGCCGCCACGCATCCTCGCCTCCACCGGAGCAGCTGCGCCGTCCAGCGGACAGCCCCTGGCAAGGCCCAGTGCGGCGGGCAGCCTCTAGTGCGCATGCGCACTGCAGCGGTGCTCGAGGGGCGTGGGGAGGGGTCACTGCCGCTGAGCCCTCCCCACGACCCTGCCCCGATCCAAGCCCGGGCACAAGGGCTGGGCAGGCCCGATCCAGAGGCTCGCTCCTTTGTCCAAGCGAGGCTTTAGCCCCGGTGCCGCTGCCCCCTCCCCTCCGCTCCCCCTGCCCTGAAATGCGACCCGCCCCCGCCCGGATTCCGCCACAGCAGGTGGCCGTGCGGGGAGGCGCATGCCACGGTGCCCCGCACGGGGAAGAATGCCGCACCCCGTCCCACACGCGCCGTAAGGGGATCCCTCCCCGTCTTGCCTGGCCGAGCCAGGAGGCCCCTTCAGGGGGATACCGTGTGGGGCTGGGGCTGGGGCGGCACCTGTGGGGCCTGCTTCATCCCAGTCCCCACGGCTCATTCTCCTTAAACTGCACCTGGGCTGGCAGTGCTGCGGACGTGGGGTGCCCCGAGGCAGGGGGCCCCCAGCCGGCCTCGGCCGCAGCAGAGCTGGAGGGTGGGAATTGGGAAGGCCCCTCAGATACGGGATGGGGAGAGGCTGGGGGGGCCGTGGGGGGGCCGCGCGGCTCTGCCTCCCCCTGCCCTCGGGAGCCCTCCGGCAGAGCGGAGCCAATGCGGGCCACATGGCAAGCAGGGCTGCGGCCGAGGCTCCACCGGGTGGGCGTCTTCGTCTGCGCTCGCAGCTGCCCGGCTCGGTCATTCATGCTTTCCTCTTGACGCAGGATGCAGCTGCCAGAAGGCGTGGGGGGGGCAGTTCCTCCCCCCTCGACCGGCCGTGAGGCTGTGCTCTCTCTGCCAGGCCCTCTGGCAGAAAAGATTCTGGTGAGGGAAAAGAGCTCCTGGGCATCTCGAGTGCAGCGTCGAGGGTCCTTCTGCAGAGCTGCTGCTGCCCTCCTGCTCTTTGGGTCAGTGGGGGAGCAGGGACAGCAGCCGGGGCTCCGGGTGTCCCTCGGGGCAGCGGGTCTCAGATCCAGCCGCGAGGCGCAAGAGGAGGAGCGCGAGCAGGGCCCCTTGGGGAGTCGGGGCCCCACCCCTCGGCTCGGAGCAAAGCATGGCGAGCGGGCGAGGAGAGGGGCGACGGGGCGCTTCCCTCGCCTGTTGTGGCCCCCAGCTCTCGGCCAGAGGTGGCTGCGAGGGGCAGCGGGACACTCCGGCCGGCCCCAGAGACCCTGAGGGGCAGAGGCCCAGCTGATCCCTGGCCGCTGGACTCGTCTGGAGCGGGTCTCTGGCGAGCAGGCGGGCCGGACTTGGCCGGCTGCACCAGGCCATCCGTTGCTCCTGGGAAAACACCCCCCCCGCCCCGCTCGCTGCGAAGGCGGCAGCCACGCTCAGGGAACAAAGGGCCTGGGGGGCGGGTGCCTGTGTCCCTGCTAGCAAACGAGTGCCGGGGCTAAACCCCTGTGAACCCGCCTTCTGCCACCACACCCCGCTGCTTTCCATCCCATAATTCAACACTGCCTCACAGCAAGCACAGGACCGGCAGGATTCGTTCCCAGACACCTCCCACTGGCTGCCTGGCGCCCCCGATCCGGAGCACCAGTGCAAGGCAGACGGGGGGACCCCTCCCCCCTTTTTCTAGGTGAAAGAGAAGCACTTTGTGAGTGCGCAGGGCCGTTGCACACGTTGGGCCCCACTTCTGAGGTCGGGGCAGGGTGACTCGGCTCCACACACGCCGGGGCAGAGGGGCAGGCAAAGGGCCTGGGGAGAGGTCTGCAAACGAAGCCGGCCCGGGAAGGGGGCCCCGCAGGGAATTCCTCTGGGATCGGTCCCTGGTGCCCCTCAGAGGGACGGCGATTCCCCCCACCCCGAGGGGTCCCGCCCCTTCCCAGCGCCCTCCACCCCACGCCAAGCCTCGGCCGCTGGCCCCTCTGCGCTTACCTGGGCGGCCAGGGTGGCCAGCAGGGCAGCGGCGAGCGGGAGCAGGGTCCCCGTCATGGCGAGGCCCCGGGAGCGCAGAGCGGCAGCTCCTCCGTCCTTCTCCCGCGGAGGCGGAGCGGCTCTGCCCGGACTCGGCTAGAGTGACTTCGGCTGGGCTCTTGACAGACAGCACACGTGTTGCCCGGCCCGGGCCTGGGAGAGGCGCCTGGCCGCGGGGGGCTGGGCGGGCGGGCGGCCGGAGCAGCAGCGCCTGCCAGCCCCCTCCAGGCTGCCCACGACCCCGGCGAACGCAGGCCTACGCGTGGGGTCCGGGGCGGCCCCCGTGCCCCACGGCGCGGCATCTGGCTGGGGCGGGGGCCGAGCCGGGGCTGCGAAAGGGCTTCACATACCGCAGGAGCCTCTACCCGTTTGGGGAACTCTGCTTCCTGAGCTGAAGGGCAGCCCCTCAGCACCTTCCCCGGCCCCCCAAGTAGGGTGGTGACAAGGGGGAGGGGCAGCCCAAGTGTGCCTAAACCCAGAGCCAGCCCCAGCTAATCTGTGCGCTGCAAGGAATTCGGGCCAGCGCCCAGGTGCCACCCCGTTTGGTCACGGGGCGGCGCAGGCACCTGAGGACACGGAGATCCAGCCTGAATCCGGCTTTCCCACACTCGTCGGGCTTCTTTCCCACTCTCCGCCTGGGCAGGAAGTGACCCGAGCCAAGCGCAAGAGCACAACTGCTCGGGAGCATGCGTGGGCCCCTTCGTTGCGCAAAGCACACGCAGCCCCTGATTCTTTGGGTGAGTCACGTGTGGAGAAGCCGAGCGCCACCTGAGCGGCCACTTGGACACCTTTCCTGTCGGACATGGAGGCCGATGCTGAGCACGTGGTGGCCGTGGGGCAGAGGGGGAAGGGGAGGAGGCGGGCCGAGCCGGGGGACGCCCGCACCCGAGCCGGGTCCTCACACCTCCCTTCCCCAGATCTCTTGCTGGACCAGCGGTGACCCCGGAGCCAGCTGGGGAAAGCTCCGAAGCGACCCTTCTCTCTTCCTCCGTGGCTTTGGCGTCCTGCGCGCTCAATACTGGTCGCGTGCGTGTTCTACTCTGAGTAGGGAAACCTACTGCTCTAAATAGGCAGGCTGGGTCAGGAATCCTGCTGCGATGATGCGTCTTCTGCCCAACCCTGGGCAGGCCCAGTGCCGCGGTCCGGCCAGAGAATCGGGGCCTCCGGGCAGAGCGTGGCAGGGTGGGGAGAGCGTGCGAGGCCTTGGGTCCGGGCTTCCAGTGCCTGAGGGGCTGGTGGAGCGGGCCTCGCACTCCCGCCCGCAGCCCGCGGTCTGTCGGCTGCAGATGCTTCGGAGCAGCTGCTGGGCTAATTCCAGGCATTCCCCGTGCCTGGCAGGGGGCTCCCGCATCTCGCTTTGCACATTTTCCGGGTTACAGCCTGGAGTCGGCCTGGATCGAATTGGCGTTGTTAGCGCTTGGGGCGTGCAGGAGACTCGCACAACGCTTGGCCGATGCGACACCGGCCCTGCTTGGTGGTGCCCAGGTCCGTTCTTGGGAATCTCCAGGTGGGAAGGAAAACGGGCCGTGAGAAACTCCAGGGAGCCGGGCAAAACCCACACCCCAAGGACTCCTTCCCCCGGCTGCTTGCTCCACCTCTCCGCCACAATTCACAAACCAACCCTAAACCATGGGCTGTCTTTGTGGCTTGTTAGCGCAGCAACACAGTAACCTGTGGTTCAAAGGCAACCCACCCTTAACCCCTGAGCGTGGTTTCTTGCATTCTCAGAACTAGTCGGGTTCACATGGTGGGATGCGCCCTGGTAGTTTTTCGCTGTGTTTGGCCTGGTGCATTGCCCGAATCCCACCGTGGGAGTCCAGGGCAGTGTGCTTGGTTTTCAGAAACCACGAACAGAAACGGCAACCTGTCCTAGGATGTCTTGGTTCTCCATGGCTTTTTGGCCCGTCTGTACCCAGAATACGCAATTCACTGCAGTCCCAGGGTGGTTCTAGCGCTGGAGAGCTGCTGGGCAGGAGTGGCCCGTTGCCCTCCTGCCGAGTGGCCAGCCGGAGCGCTCCTCCCGAGCCATCCCTGCTCAGCCGGCCCGGAAGAGCCTCCAGGCAGGAGCAGGTGAGCAAGCGGAGGCCTGGAAAGCTCTGAGCAGCGCTGAGCTAACGGGAAGGCGGGGAAGGGCCCTGGCGCAGCCGCACGGGCACATGCGAAGTCGAGGAGGGCCCAGTCCTGAAGCCAACCGACGCTCTGCAAAGCTGGAGCCGAGCCGAGCCGAGCCATCCGGGGAATGCGGCTCTGGGAAAGGAATTTCACAGCTGTGGGCTGCCTGGGCGTGCCGTGCCCGGACCGGGCTCCCCCCACCCGCAGGCCTCCTCTTGTCTGGCTGGGACAGCTGGGCTCCCGAGGAGTGCAGACGCCCCCCCACCCCTGCTTCTTGGCTCGCAGGCGGTCTGCCCTGTCTTTGGCACCCCCGTGTGGGACGCAAAAGCCCTGGGGGGTTGCCGCCAGCGCAGGGCTACGTGGGCAAGGGTCCGAGTCAAGAAAAAGCAGCCGTGGGGGTCCCGCGGCGTCGCTTGGCCTTTGCTCCCCTCCCTGCAAGTGCTTCCCAGCGTCTTCTGCCCAGTTCGTGCCCAGAAGGGGGTTCTCCCCCACCGCCAGGATCCGGGCTGCTCTGGCCGGATCAGGCCCAGGGCCTGCAGCAGCGCACTGGGAGTCCTGTGGGGAGAGCTCTGCCGTGCAGTTTGGCGCTTGCCACCCGCCGGCGTCGTGCCGGACCTCTGCCGTGTCGCTGCGGTGGGTCCTGCCCCCCATTGGAAGCCCCTCGCTGCACCGGGAGCCGGCCGAGCACGTCCCGCCCGAGGGCCACCCAGAGCCGGTGAGCGAAATCGCCAGGCCTCCGGATCCCCGTGACAAAGGAGGCTCAGTGACTTTCAGGCTGGAAAAATGCGAAGGAGAGCCCCCCGCGATGGGGGGCGGGCAGGTGGGCGGGGGCTGTTCAGCGCAGTGCCCTCTGGTGGGTGGCAGGGGGACCTCAAGGGCCGCCAAAGGGAGCCGAGCCCCGCTCCTCTCCGCCCGCCTTCCTCTCCAGCGCGGCCCCAGCCCAGTCTCCTGGCCCAGACTTTGCTCCGGGGGGGCCCTTTCAGGGGCAGGAGCTCTGGCTCCGGTTAGGGCAGCCTTGCCCAGCCTTGTGCCCCCGGGCAGCATGCTGGGAGTTGTGGCCCAACCCATCGTGGGGCTGGGGAAGCCTGGTTTGGGGGCATCACCCCTTTCAATGAGGGGTGCTTTGCAGGGCATATGAGCACAGGCCCTTGCCCCATGCTATGATTTTACATGGGCAAAGCAAGGGGAGGGAGGGGGGACCAGGTAAGCAACATGAAGCCTTTGCAGCTGATGGTTGTAAATGTATATTGTTTATTTATTTGCAGGTCCAGAGACCTGCAATATATTGAACAGGGTAAAAATCCCCAATAAGCTTTTTAAAATGAAGATGCTCCAAAGTCAGTCTTGTACTTTTGCTAGGTTTGCGCAGGTCTTCCATAATCCAGGTCTGTAGAGCAAGTCCTCCTGCAAGAGACCGCGCCTGGCGCGCTGTTGCTTTCCTCACGGATCTTCAGGGCTGCTCCAGCCCTGACTTTAGCTGGCCGCCTCGATTCCTAGGACAGCTGCCAGTGCCGCTGAGCCATGTTTCCCCCAAACACGCAGCAGGGCTGGCCTGACCACAAGCCCCCCTTCCCCAGGGCCCGGAGGCTTTGCTGGAGGTGCTCTTGAGGAAGGAGGCCATGGGGCTTTTGGGGGGCTGCACCTTCCCTGTGGAGCTTGCTCCCAGTCAAAATGTGCAGGTGCCCCGTGCCCCTGGAAGCGGGGAGCCCATTAAAGACCTATTTCCTTGTGCCGGCTTTTGGAGTCGCGCAGACCCTGCCTTCCTTGTTTGCTTGATACTCTTGTTGGATTGATTTTATTCCAAGATATTCCTGCCACCTTAGAAGTGTGTTTTCAATGTTCACTATATGATGCATTATGTTTTTGCCTCCCAAGCTTCTTTCTGAGCAAGAGTGAATTGCGAAAGACATAAAATAATCGCAGCACCTGAATACCCGTGTGGGGCCAGTCATGTTGGCTCTGGGACTCTGCCTTCACCAGGTCTAGCCTCTTGAGCATGCCACCTGCCCTGAAGGCCTGCTTTCCTCCCGCAGTGGGAACAGGCTGGGGGCGTCTTTCTCTCCCCAGTGGTGGGAAGGTGCTCCCTGCAGAGTCCAGAGCTGGAGACCCATTTGGTGCTTCAGCGCAGGAGAAGGACGAGACGGGTCTCGCGGGAGGCATAAATCCAGAGGCCCCTCTGACGAGGCCGGAGAATGACCTCCCCTCTCTGCGTGCCACGAGGGCAGGTGCGTGGCCATCACGCCCGGCCGGCTGGAGTGGCCAAGCCAGTTCTGCCAGGGCCACGGGGGGGGGGGGGGGCCCGCCCCTGCCGGGGCACAGGGGGGGGGGGGACCGAGTGTCGGGCGGCTTGGGGCCTGGGCCGAAGCAGCGCGTGACAGTTCAAGGCCGGCGGGCGCTGTGGCTGTCACATCCGGTGCCGTCAAGCCGCTCCCTGGCCTGCGCCGGCCAGCTAGTGGCGATGCCGTCTTGTCAGCCTGCATATGCCTGTCACTCCTGATCCAGAGCGGCCCCCTCAGCGGGAGGCCCCGGGGGGGATGTCTCTGCCAGACCTCCCTCCCCACACGAGGGGCTTTCGGAGTCCTCTGAGCCGGGAAGAAGCCCACCGAGGAGAGCGCAGCTGCTCAGGCCAGGCAGACGCGTCCCCCCTCCCCTGGCTGGGCTGGAGCCTTCGGCCTTGTTTTGGCCACGCTTTTTGGGGGAGGAGGAGGAGGAGGAAACCTCGACCTCATTTTGGAAAGGGGGCTTGGGCTACAGAAAGCCTCCCCCCCCCGGTGCCGTAGGTCCGTCTTGGGTTCAACGCGGCTGCTGGTGCCGAGGTCTCAGAGGAAGGGAAAGTATGTTAAGGGACACCCTTGGCCTGGATGCTGGGCGGTGACCTGCCGGTCCTTCTCCATGCGGGCTCTGGG